TGTGGAGGGCGGGGGGGGGGGGGGGGGGGGGGGGGGGGGAATGGAGCGTGCGGTGGTAGCGGCTGGGATGCACTGATCTGAGCTGCAATACTCCCCCGGGGCTCCCCCTGAGTCTCTGCAGTTCTCGTGCGGCGGCTGGGGGCCGGCAAGCACTGGTGTCTAGGCGGTGGCTGCGGGGCGGCGGCCTCTCCATGATGGCTCCGGCGCGACCGGAGAGGCACAGTCTCGTTACCGAGGCAGAGGGTGGCCCCCGACACGTGCTCCCCAGTGGGCCAACAACTCCAAGCCAACAATGCACTCATCTCTGATGTCGGCAAGTCAGAACTCGTGGCTCGTCCCCACCACCACAGACAACAGCTTCTTCCCAGGCATTACTGTCCTTTCACCCGTGACGGTGAGCAGTTCGGTATTGGTGGGGGTCCAGTCCTCCGGAAGAGGACCGGCCATCCCTGACAACAGTCCTTTTCGTAGCACGCAAATGGTGGACCCTGTATCCACCAGGGCGCTGCAGGGCCGCCCGTCAACATCACAGTCCAGGTACAGTCCTCTGGCAAGCCTGCAGCGCCCCACAGTAGGGCAGTCGTTGTGGAGGGGTGCCGGAGAATGGGGTGAGTGTCCCCTCACTGCCTCACTCCAAGGTCGTTACCCGGGGGTGACGTTGCCCGGGGCCTGGGGCACAGGGCAGGCAGTCCCTGGCGAAGTGCCCCGGTTCTCTGCAGCGGTCTAGTCTCGACCTCCGCCGAGGGGTCACCGCTGGTTGGGCCCGGCTGACCTCCTCCTCCTCAGGCTGGACCCCGTCCACCTCTCGTTCGGCTGCCTTCGTCAGCTGGCGCTGGAGCGAAGCTCAGCCTGCAGCACCTCCTCAGCTCGCTCGGCCTCTCTCAGCGCCTCACTCAGATCTCGGGGTGACAACAGGCAGACATGCTGGCGGAGCCGCTCAGGTGTAAGGCCTCGCAGGAAAGCGTGGAGGCTTAGCTCTTCCCTCGCTGTGGCCGGGAAGGTAGGGTAACCCTTCCGGTCGTAGACCCGGATGTCAGCGCGAATGCACCCACACTATCTCCTTCACGTCGACGTCGGTTAGTCAGCTCCGCCCTGCTCTGCGGAGGTTCGCTGCCCGAAGCGGCGGTTCAGAGCGCGGTGAGGGCCTGGAGATCACTTCTTCAAGGGACAGATCAATGAGGACCTGAAGTGCAGGACCCTCCAAGGCGAGGGCCAAGTGAGTCGTGGTATCCTCGCGGCTCCATCCATCATGGAGAGCGGCCAGGTCGACCTGTGCCAGGTAGGGCTCCAGGGGCATCAACCCGTTGTATTGTGGCAGCTTAGTGGGTGATCGTGTTAGAAGGCCCGGCCGGCCATTTTATTTGGAGTGTCTGTGTGCTGGCCGGAGGTTCGTTCGGCCCGCGACCTGGAGAGCGGTACACTGTCCGGGGAATGCTGGCGCCGTCAGGCTGGTGCGGAGCTCTGGTCCTCCGCGTCGTCCTGCTCGTCAGGCACTCTAGCATGATGCCGTTCTCTCGGATGGCCCGCTCTAATTCCCCTATGCTTTGCTCCATAACGGCGTCTTCTAAACGGTTTTGATCCGACTTCTGAGACCACTGTAACAACTGGCGGTTGTTTTGAAGAACGTGGGGCTGACCGGAGCTAAGCTAGGCTAAACTGTAAACTTCTAAACTGTTGCTAAGCTAGTTGCTAACAGGGTGCTAGCATCTACATGTCGCAACTTTTAATTTGGCTAGCGGAAAGTGCGAGCACTCGCGTCTCATACACCGCATGACCCTGAGTGTCTCTCTGAGCAGAAGCACAGTCAGAACGAACCAGCAGGAGGCAGTACCGTCTTCCTTCTCCTTTTATTGTGAACATAGAATAGGAACTTACACAGGCCAGGCCATATCGCCAAGTCACTCCCCTACACATCTCTCTCCATGACGGTGACAGCCACACTTTTACATAACAGGGCAGTAAAATGAACCAAACCCACCCGAACTAACTTGAACATACACACATAACATTGCTAATGCAAAAACCCAACCATCTTGCTTAAATAACACATAAATCAACTCTAAACAAATACCCATAATGCACATGGCTGCTAGAGCTGACTGCCGGGTCATTACAGTAGGTTACATTATTGCTTATATTTATTAATTTCAGGTGAACCCAGTGGCTTTTTACTATTCGAGGGTCACATTGTTGTGAATTTATACCTCAACTTTGTGGCTGGATTTGCAGTCTTATAACAACTTCAGTCTGGCGTCCCGGGAGCAGGCATCTTTTACACACTTGAATTTTTTCAAAGGTAACATGTTTTACTTGAGTAATTTCATTTGGGAAAAAGGTTACTTATTTATAGTTTAAGTACTGGTAAATGTTGATTGTATTGTATAAGTGGCATTTTTACATTTATTGTATTGAGCTAGTTTCATTCAATACTGAACTTTATTCTAAAGCTTCTGCTTGTTTTTTTGTGCAGATGTTTTGTTGGAATCACAACACTCACTGGATACAAGACAGATACATAGAGGCAAAACAAGTGGAAAGGTCTCAGAGAAAAGGAACAACCCTCATGTGTGTGCTCATCTCAGAAAGTTGATGGACTTTCAGTATGTATTTATTAAATTGTCTTTTGCAGGAATATTCTTAATTTAATAGAGCATAAGCTCAAACAACAGCATTTGTGGTATAATGTTGATTCCAGCATTTTATTTTAATCCTTTTCTTTTAAAAAACAAAAACAAAAAAAGTAAACTTTTACCAAAATTATACAAATTCTGTTGATTGACCTTCATTTTTATAGAAAGTTAATGTTGTACGCAGAATATGGCTTTTTTTATTTTTACAGGTATTTGTAGTTATTTTGTGATGCTAGGTTATTTTTATTATAATATTTTAACTGTTGAAAGACTGAAGATTTTATTTTACCAGTAGAAGCCTTGCAATTTCTTTCTGCCAGTTTTAATAAATATTTATTTGCAACATCTTTGACTTGGTTTTTATTCATTTGTAAATGTATTAATGATAATTCATTTAAATGAGTATTTTGCAGTTTATAGTTAAAATGATTCTTTACAGCATTTTCATTGTTAAATTATTATAACATCATCTTGGATTTTGGGGGTATTTACAGGATTTTATTGGCAACTTTAGTTGCCAGGTAAATACTGTAATTTAGTGAAATTACAATAAAAAAAAAAAAAGTTTATTTTATAAAAGTTTAATTCAATGTTTCTGTAAAAAATACTACAGACTACTGTATTTCACATACAGCAATTAACTGTAATTTGCTTTGCAGTATTATACTGTAATCCATTTTACAGCAATTAACAATTTTTTACAGGATTTTATTTGCAAATTTTTTGCCTGTAAAATCCTGTAAATTCTATGGTACATTTTTTTACAGTGTTTCATAAAAATGGAATTCACTGTATAAAGCAAAATATCACGGAATTTCATAAAGTTTGAATGATTAAATTAAAAATAGGTCAGTCACTCAAAATAGAAGTAAAAATATCTTAAACGTATGTAATGGCAAGTCAAAATAAACTTGAGGATATTTTCAACATTATAACAAGTCATAATTTTGCTGTGGATATCTTAATGCCAATCATGATGAGTTTAAATTGCACAATATATATTTGTATTTTGACTACAACTACTGGAGTCAGGTATATTAAATGCAAAAACAGCTTGCATTAAGGAATTTCACTTTTCCGAGAACACATAGCCTATGTAAAGTTGCCACAACAAAAGCTTGGCATCAAATTACATTGCAGTTGCATACCCTCAAGTATAGGCCTACATGCAGTCGCAGCGTTCCTAAAATACAATCCTGTTGCTCATCGCTGCTGGTTTGAGCAAAAACTCTTGATTAATATGAAAAATACATCTTACATAGATACTTCAAATTTTGATACAGATACTATGGATATTGATCTTAAGCAATTAACTAATCCACAACAAAAATCAAAGGCTTATATTGTTTTCATTTATGCAAGGCTTGTTTTCTTTCCCTAACTGCTTGAAAACTGTTTCTCGCTTTCCCTCTCCACATAACTTACAGTCATCCACACACAGACAAGACGTTGTCAATAAAAGCTGGGGCTCATGTTTCAGTAGTAATTTCAGTTTTAACAAGATGAGAGCCTCACTAATAAATCTAACAACTGTAGAGGCTTATACCAAATAACAACTTGGAAAGCAATAACTAGTCAAAACTTAACTATAAGCCAAAATAACTGCTTAAAGTCTAATATTCATACAAAAGTAACCCAAGGTAACGTTAATGAAGGTACACCCTAAACGGTGTAAACAGACACTCTCTTACCAATTCCTGGTTCAGGCCCAGTCGCCATCCGTAATCTCGATGGTCACACCTGTGATCTGATCACAAGACGATGAAAATGCTAGAAAACAAATCCAATTCACAGCATAAAAACCTTGATACATCTGCAGTGGTTTATAACATCAATAAAAGAAAACCTTTGCATAAAACACGTGAATGCTGAAAAAATAAACTCACCAAGTATAGAGCTACTGTTCGAAGTTTAGTTGCGCAGCTTTAGTTTCACTTGTGTTTTATTCCTTCCCTTTGTAGAAAGTCTTCCCCTGCTTCTTTTATGGTGTTTATTGGCTGCTTATAGGTGCGTTACTGCCACCAACTGGACTGGATTGTGGATCAGGTGTTACATGGGATAAAAAAACAGGCAAGAATAAAATAAAATTAATTAATAAAATCAAAAAGACTATAATCATTTACTTTTTTTAATGAATTTAATTATATCATCATATACAGGTACATCTAAAAAAAAATTAGAATATCATGAAATGTCAATATTTTTTTTCACTCATTTCAGAAAGTGAAACCCATATATTATATAGATTCATTACACATAGAGTGAAATATTTCAAGCCTTTATTTCTTGAAATTTTGATGGTTATGGCTTACAGATAATGAAAACCTAAGATTCAGTGTCTCAGAAAATTAGAATATTGTGAAAAAGTTCAATATTGGAAAGTCATGATGTCACCCTAATCAGCTAATTACCTCAAAACACCTGCAAAGGTTTCCTGAGCCTTTAAATGGTCTCTCAGTCTGGGTCAGTAGGCTACACAATCATGGGGAAGACTGCTGACTTTACAGATCTCCTGTCATTTACACCCTCCACAAGGAGGGTAAGCCACAAAAGTTAATTGCTAAAGAAGCTGATTGTTCACAGAGTGCTGTATCCAAGCATATTCATAGAAAGTTGAGTGGAA